TTAATCATGTGTCATGGGCTGCAAGATGGATGACAAATTCCCGCATCTAACATGAATTTGTTTGGGCTTTCGCTGTTTTTAGTTTCGGTTTAGAGGAAACTTTTGGCCCTTTGGTGACGATATGGTGTATGATATGTATATATGTGGAGTGAATTTTTGGTTGTGTAGACCCAAATTAACTTGTAGGACTTTTTAGCTGTAGGTTTTTATGGTGGAATTACTGTTGCTTCGGATATCTGTGTGGCTGTTTCGTCTTTTGCTCTCGTTTCTCGACTAGATTGCACGTGTGTATGTGTAGAGTTGTAATGGCTGCATCTCACCAAAATCTTGTTCTTTGTAATAGTTTCTTAACACGTTTTTGCACGAAGTCTGCGAATTGTGTAATTATTAAATTTTTGTGCTTGGCACATGTCGCTGCTTGGTGGATTCAGAATGATATCACTTAATTTAGCCAGCAAATTGCTTTCTATTGCTGACACGACAGTGAGGTATTTGGTCTTGTCGCTCGTTAAACCCGCGGCAATGAATTGAGACTCCACTTACGCAATACAAAGTTTTGGCTTTATGTGCCAAATTGATAAAATCTGGATGGAAACTTTACTAAATCCCATGTGAGACTGCAAATGATCTGCCAACTGATTCCGAGGCAGCAAATTTTTTGCTGACTGATTTAGAGCAGTATCTTCGACAATATGCGTCAGGGTCCCCAACATGTGGGGTGTTCACAATAATGTTTGAGTTATTAAAATATAAAAACTGATACAATATGATTAGATACAAAGATGATACACCGTTCTTACGACCGTGATGTTGTGTGAAATAGAGAAGAAAGGTAATGGTATGTCAGAGTGACACCGAGTCGTGGATTTTGAATTGACAATAACGGTATCACCAGCTTTATTTCGAAAGAAGTACGGACCAAGGATTTCACAAGACCAAAAACCACACCAAACAGTCAACTTAGGTAAATGGAATGATAGTTCATGAATAATTTGTAAATTTTCTTCGCACCTTTTACTTATATACCGTACTACTCAGATAAATATGAGTGTCATCGGAGAACATGATTTTCCTAAAAAAATCGTTATGGTTTTCATGTTACTCCAAGGCAAAATCAGCAAATTGTTGACGTTTGCGGTACCAGGTTGTTCAATAAGTTTTGTCGTTCGATAAGAGAGCAATAGCCTAACTTTTTTTTAACCCATATTTTAAGTGAAATTTTATGTTTTAGAAAGCCGCGGCAGCAACATTTGGAACATTTTAAAAAGTATAAAGTGGATTTTTGCGTCGATTCATCACTATGGATTAGACTTGGGTACATCACCATGATCCTGAATCAAAACAAAAGGCTAAAGAGTGGTGTGAACCAGTGATCTGCAGTGAATACTTATGATTATACTCTCAAATTCATGAATCACATCCATTGTTCACTTGCTCTCACTAAAAACATCATCTCTTCACAATCACATGGCTTGCTTGTGTAATAATGATAATGTCTGACAATCACTTATCGCTCACACTTGGCTTGGCTTGCTGCTCTCATTCACATCCTTTTATTCAATTATTTTTTTCAGCCTAGATGTAAAGCTTTATCTTACATTCTAGAAAGTGGAGAGCTTAGGGAGATGATTCCCTGAAGTTTATACCTAGGCGGAGGGGTTTTAAAAGGAACAAAACCCGTGATTCTAGTGACTTCGTAAAAACTGCAAAACTGAAACTTCTTTGTTTCTTATCTTTTTATTCAGTTTTCTTCTCAAATAACACCAGAAATCACATTGAAAAATCGTAAAATTACTAAGAGATACTATACATACATACAAGAAATGTGTGTGGGTTTTGTGTCAGGCAAGAACATGAGATGTGTGCTTACGACGGTCCGAGTACTTCTCGTACCTATTTGAAAAGCGATAAGGAGGAAAGGTTCTTCAAAGGCGAGTTCAATTTGGTTTGAAACTTTGAACAGTGCACAGATTCGAGAGGGAGAAAAACTGGAAAAGTGGGTCTTAGTAAATAAATTGTTTGGTGAATTTTGGTAAATGTCATCTTGTGAATTAGTTAAAACGATATAGCGTTACATAGTTCTGAAATTAATTTAGTTAGACGAGGATTTGTTAATATTTGTTTCTGCTATAAACACGATATGCGCAACAGTTCATACGGACGTTCCAACAATAGTCAGCTTTAAACGTAATATCGATATACATATGTAAAAAATGTATCCCACAAACTCGAAATTTTACAGGGGAAGGTTTTTTTTATATTAAATCAGTTTGAATAAAGCCATTATTTTAAAATTTATAATGTAAATATTTTTTTGTGTAATACATTTAATTT